TTACTGAGAATTATTCATATCAAATTTATGCTGAGTTTGCATGATGCATAATAAATTTTATTAATAAGATATAAAAAGCATTTTTTAATTAAAAAGAATATTAATCGGATTTTTAACATATTTTTTTTCTTTTATGTTTGTAAAAAAATATTCCTTCGCCTTTTTATTGTCTGTTGTTTTTACTTTAACTTTACTTAAATCAAATTTTTTAAAACTGAGAAAAAAATTGATAAAAATGATCTGGGTTGATAAAAAAATTTTAAACAGCAACTGATTATAATTAGAATGATTCAGTATTTTAAAATATAAAATTTGTTGTACTAAAAGTGTACTAAATAATATTTTAATATTATATGAACTGAAATTATATCGATTAATGGTAAGTAAACTTGTTTTATTATATAATTAATTTAACAGCTTTATTATATAATTAAAATAAAATTTAAAATATATAAGAGTATGTATTACTTTCTCAAAACCTTACATACAAAAGAACTCATAACAGTAGATGTTCCGAAATATGCAATTTTTTTGTGGTGTCGATTCTTGAATTAATACTCTAGAATGAATGCTAAACTGTACATGCAAGTGCAAGTAAAAATCAACAACTGGAATATCTTTTTATAGCTAGATCCAAACATGTAAAGCAAAGGGATTAAAAAAACTAAACTTCATTATCCATCTGTATAGACAGTTAGTAAATACATAAATTTCAAATATTCAAATTAGCAATATTTTAGAAGACCAAGCTTTGTTCTTTACTAAAAAAACTGACATTATTTTAATTATACTAAATTGAATTTTCCAAAATTTATGATTCTCTTTTGCAGAATCTTGTCATATTATCTTAGGTTATTTGAATATGGCAAAGCATAAAAGAGCTATCTGCCTAAGGCAAAGGATGCTTTTGTAAAGGACTTTATAAGGAAATTGTTTTGAATTCACATTACATATTGGGAAGCTACTAAAATGTAACAAGCCTATAGAGGAAGGAATAGAAGGAGAGGCCCTGGGCGGTTTCTCCCATTGAACTGGTTTCACGCAACGACACCCCTTTCCTTGTTTATCAAAACATTCAGTACTTTCTCATTTTGACATTATGTTTGATGGGTTTCAACATGTTTGATGGTAAACACTCTGCAGTTATATCATAAATGTATATATTTTCTTTTCTATAGTATTGCAGAATCCTAATTATTTGGAAGATTATTTTTACAAATATATTTCATTCTAAAAAGAATTAACTTCCTTTGCTCAGAATAGTTTTAATTTAAATGAAATATTTTCATGCATTTTTATTAATTATGCTAGAAAGATATTTTTATTTAGTTAATGATTACAAAAATTAAAATCAAAGTTTTATTGTATTATTAACCCTCTGAACGGCATGACAAACTTTATTTGGTCATCAGATTTTTTTGTTACTTGATATACATTAAAAAGGTCTATTATCAACATTTAAATTAATACTTAATAATATAAGAAATCTAATTTCACAAAAATAATTTTGATGTTTCATTAATTTTCTCACTTTCAACATTATTGCCGCCCATGTATTTCTTCAGAAGTTGTATTCATAACTTGCAACTTAGCAATCAAGATCATGTTTTCCATATATTTTAGACCTGGAATCAATTTGATTCAAGTTCTACTCTTTATAGTGCAATAGCTGATTTCTAGCTTTGCTTGAAAATCAAGATTTTTGTATTCTAAAAAAGTTACCAGAGCCAACAGAGAACCTTCAACACAGAAAAACACCTTCAAAGCAAAAAGGAAAAAAGCTGAGACAAAATGCATTAGAATAATAGAAATATTTAAACAAGAAAATAGGTAAGAGAACAGATTTTAAAGGAAAGGAATTTAATTAAGTACCTACATTACTTTTCAAAATGTACTTTTTTTTAACAGAATTTTAACCTCCTTCTATCTTACCACACAGCCCATAACTGGTACATTTCAAAATATAAGTATGAGTTATGTTTATAAAAAAATATCAGAAAATTATGCTAATTATAATATTAATAATTTGAAATAAACTATAACATGAATTAGAATACTACTGAATTAATTTTATTCCAAATGAGGAAAAATGTTAAATGAATTACTATCTCATTGATAATTCCTGCTTTAATAATCAGGGAATGTTTTTAATTAAAAAAATTTAGTTACCACATTACCCCTTTTAACTAATCTTGTTTGAAAATCAAGAAAGGAAAATTATGCAAGCATTTTAATTTTCAAAGAATGTGGTTACATTAAGAACATAACACATGAAAAATAGTTACGGATAAACTATTACTGGGATACAAATAAGTCTCTGCTGTTTGACAAAAACCCAGTAAGTTAAGGTTATAATTGTCTGATGTAAAACATCATACTGTAATGCTGGACATCTGCTAACAACATAACCTTGAAATATCAGCAATTTTGTATCAGCATTAAATATTTTTTTCGTGCGAAAATGTCAATTTTTTTAGCCGAATGAGTATCATTTGTGGCAACTTTGGATTTACTTCTTTAATTTGAATAAATCTGCAGCTGAGGTGCATTGATTGCTTGTAGAATCATATGGTGAGGTTGCTTTAATTGAGAGTGTTATGAATGAGTTCAGAAGTTTAAGAATGGTGAATTTCACATCAAAAACAAAGAACGAAGAGGAAGGATAGATGTGTATGAAAACGCAAAACTGGAAAGCATTATTGGGTGAAGATTCATGCCAAGCGCAAGAAGGGTAAGTAAGGAACGCAAGGAAAATGGGTTCCATACAAATTGAAGTCGAGAAACATTGAACACTGATTTTTTACACGTAAAATGCTATCTGCCAGACAAAAATGAAAGTTTTTTTTTTTTTTTTATTTTATAGTCAGTGGTAATGAAAAATGAATCCACTACAATAATGCAATGAAGAAATCATGGGGACCACTTGGCCATGCTTCAACATCAACAGCCAAGCCAAATATTCATGGAAAAAAAATAATCAGGTTGTGTATATGGTGGTATCATCAATCAACTTGGTATCATGTATCACAAGTTACTCAAACAGAATGAAACCATTACCAGAGCTCTCTGCTGAACACAAATGATGAGATTGAACTGAGCACTCAAAGAAAAATGTTCCACTACTATTCCAGATATGACAAAATTATTCTCCTGCAAGATAACACTCATCCACATGTTGCGACGGCAGTCAAAACCTACTTGGAAACACTCACGTGAAAAGTTTTCCCCCTCCCGTTATATTTAGCAAATACTGCTCCTTCTCATTATTACTTGTTTCGATAGATGACACACAGCATATCTAAGCAGCACTTCACATCATATGAAGATACCAAAAATTGGGTTGATCTGTGCATAACCTCGTATACTGACAAGCAAGATGGGAAAAAAGTGGATAGTGATAGACAATATTTTGAATAAAAAAAATAATGTACTGTTCTTTCACAATAAATGCCCAATTTTTGATAAAAAAACGGCAGAGACTCATTTGTACTCTTGATAGTAGCTATCACAATATTATTTCTTTAAAAGAAACGAACATTCCAAAAAGAATATAATTAGTAATATTAATATTATAATATCTGATGGATACTGGGCCTCCATCTGACAGTAACTGAGTCAGACATGTGTGTGCAGTTCAAGTACTTTGGAAAGTCCAGTGGCACTAATTTTGCCTCCAATATCCAAAAGGTACATCGGAGGAACAACAGAGAAAGGAGGTGAATAAAAGACTCAAATTTAGAAAGATCGAACCCATCAGCAGCAGATAAGGCTACAATGAATTGGAATGTAAATAAGGAAGTAAGGTGAATGCACATGTTTGAAAAATTTCTTAACTGTTAAAACACCTGCCACACTAGGTAATTTAACAAAGAACTCACATAAAATATATTTCAAATAATAAATGCAAGAGAAAATAAAATGGATAAAATGCTTATATAAAAATGCAAATACAAATTGAATAAACTGAATAAAAATAGCAATAATCACAAAATCAAAGAACTAGCCCTCAGATAGAAAAACTATGTACAACAGAGGTAGGGGGAAATTATGCAAATATTTAAAAAATTTTCAGAACCTTCACTGAGGGAAAAAATGTGAGGAAATACAGTATTTCTGTATATCAAATGCACAGGTATTGGAAAAAGTATTCAACTACGAGGGCCATCCAGGAAGTAGATTACGTTTCCGTCTGTGTCCGCTAGGGGCGGGGCTAGCGCGGCCATCTTGGGGTCAGAGCGTTGCGCAGCTCAGTCTGCATCTAGCCGTGCTAGTGAGAGGTTCGTGCTGTGCTCCGTTCAGATACTGTGACGGTTTGAAATGTCTGCGTTAATTGAAAATCTGCGAGCTGCGCTCAGTAATAAGGTTTCTGACTGCAAAAAACTGTAAACCGATAGAAATCTATCGGCAGCTTCCTGAAGTGTATGGGGACAACATTATCACTGAAGGTGGAGTGTGTCAGTGGGTCATAAGATTTCAAAATGGCCGAACCAATGTTCACGACGAAGATCGAAGTGGGAGACCCAGCATAGTGACCGCCGAACTTCTCGAAAAAGTCGATGCTAAAGTCCGTGAAAATCGAAATTTCACAATAATGGAACCTTCTTTGAGTTTTCCACAAATTTCGCGAAGTTTGTTGCATGAAATCATCAGCGAAAAGCTTGGTTACCACAAGTTTTGTGCAAGATGGAAGGCAAGAAGAGGTAACGAAGTGGTTGAAGGCGCAGGGCGGCCGAATTTTTCGACGAAGGATTTCCAAGCTCGTACATCGCTACGATAAATGCCTTAATTTGTATGGTGACTATGTAAAAGTAGTATTTGAGTGTGGCTTTCATCTGTATAATAAAAATTTGTTTCCTATACTTTGTTTTTATTTTTTTATTCCAAAATGTAATCTACTTTCTGGATAGCCTTCGTATATACAAAATTTAACTGATTTTGCTACCAAGACTTCTTATTTTGAAATAATAATTAGTATGCCTCAGTATAAAATTAGTACAAAATTACAACAAATGATATTTATTTATTTTTATCAAAATTTAATTTAAATGCAAATCTCTCAGGAAATACAGAATTTAATTATCCTCGAGATATCTGCTAAAGAATTCTTAGACATAAAACAAAAGGAAACAAATAAATAATAAACAAACTAGTAATTAAATTAAATTAAAACTTGACATTAATTTCTAATTTTATATGATGGTTCACACTTTTGAGAAAAAAGGATCTTCCCAAGGTGGAAGACTACTTGTCACCTTCTCAGCTAAATCTCGATATATAAGAGCCTAAGAAAGAAAAATATAAGTCATTAGATTTTTACTTTTTTATAATATAAAATGATTACTTATGCAATGAACAGAGACTTTAAAAAAATAATATAATATGGCAAAAAATAAATTTATTTTATGCTCATAATCAAAGTTGTACTTAATTTTTTTTTTTTAAAACCGGAGGCCAAGCAGTTACCTCATGCCTCTCTCTCTCTCTCTCTATATATATATATATGCACACACATATATATACTGAAAATTGGGAAACAAACAAAAAAAAAAAAAAAAAAAAAAAACTATATATATAATACACAAACAAATACAAGCTAGCTCTCTCTACCTATACACTTTTACATTCACAAAGGTAATTATTTCAAATCATACTACCAAACTCTTTAATCATAAGTTTATATATTCAGAAAAAGGATATATATTAATAAGAGATATATAGTAATAATATAAATAGCAATGCAGTTATAATATAAAAAATTGCACTAACTTTCTACCTTTTTTGGGGGGGAGGGTAATACAGCTTTTCTTGCTTTTAATGAAGCAAAACAACCAGTAGTTTTTTCAGATTCTACTTGATCATTTAATTCGTGTTGTGTAAAAAAAAAAGGTTCTTGATGACGCGAAGATCTTACACACACACACACATATATATATAAGATATAACAAAATACGATAGCTGCTTAAAAAAAAATAATTGGTGACCTCAAAATTAACATTTCTAGATTTGGTGCTCTCCCAAATTCGGGATGTTTCTACATTATGTAATGCTACTGGAAAAGGGCAACTAAAACTAATATTAACCAATCACAAACTAGCTCTACTTATATCTCAGATTTAGTATAAATATCCTTTCGACTCTTACTTGTGTCATAATTTTGAAGTACAGTCGCGATGCCTGAATGGTAGGTAGGGTGAGAGGAAGAAGTTGATACTAAACTAAGTTCAATCAATTATAATCTTTATTTCTAGATTTCCAGGCACACTAGAATAATTCTTTGTAGACAATATACTCTTTAATCATAACAATTGCGATAATTTCTTATATGCATAGGTTTTTTTTTTTTAAAAAGAATGATGCAGGCATTTTACAGAAGCGAAGCAAGGAGATATTAGCAAGATGGAATTTAGCAGATTAATGATGTAATTAGCTTGCCAAGATATTTATACTAAATCTGAGGTATAAGTAGTTTATCTGTGATTGATTAATATTAGTTTTAGTTGCCCTTTTCAAGTAGCATTACATAACATAGAAACATCTCAAATTTGGGAGAGCAGATGAATTTAGGTGAAGAGCACCAAACCTAGAAATGTTATTTTTGAGGTCGGCAATTATTTTTTTAAAGCAGCTATCGCATTTCTTTAATATATAAGATATAATAAAAGCGGTATCGAGAGATGAAAAATATTCCTGTGTTTTATAAGGTATTTTCTCTTTATATAAATAAAGCATTTTATAAACATTTTATAAGGTATTTTCTCTCTTCTTTCTGAGTGCCTTCTTGGTTCAATGGTTAGCACAGTACATATTTGAGAGGTTCAGGGTTCGAGTCCCGGCAAGGGCACTGCATATTTTTAACATTTCCTGCCTTAAAAAAAAAAAAAAAAAAAAAACCTAATGGCTCTACAGTGGTGCCTGAATTAAGGTGGTGGATAATGTTGATTCTTTCCCACCAGGAATTTTGCGATTGGGTCTCCTAATCGCCAGTTGCCCTTCAAAAAGGGAAGTATATAAGGTATTTTCTCCCTGCTTTTGGTATGCCTTCGAGGTGTAACGGTTAACACATTTCGTGTATTTGTGAGGTCCACGGTTCAAGTCCCGGCGAGGACACTGTATATTTTTACATATCTCCTACTTTAAAATGGAGGGGGGGGGAAACCTCAATGACTCTACAATTTCTCAAATAAATTTGCACCTGAAACTAAATTTACTCACTGCACCAGCTTTAGAAGCTTTAGTAGCCAAAATAATGCCCGGAAACCTGAAAATCGTTTTGAATCAAGCTGTGAAAATTGTTAATTTCATTAAGAGCTGAGCTTTAAATTGAAGAATAATTATGATTTTATGCTAAGGGATGGGCAGTGAGTATGAAGCGATTTTGCCACATTCCAAATAGAGGTGGTTATTCACAGGCAAAATTTTGAATTGTCTTTTTTAACTTTGATCAGAAATTCAAATTTTCCTCTGTAATTCAAAATTTGAATTGCAAAGATATTTATTTAGTGAATTTTGGTTGCCGCATTTAGCATATTTAGCTGATACTTTTGGAAAGTTAAATAAATTAAATTTAGGATTACAAGGACAAAGTGTTAATTTGTTTACCATTAGAGGTAAAATAAATGCAATGATAAAAAAAAACTCAATAATCAAAGAATTCGACAATAACATTTTAAGCTTTTTATTACTTTTAGAAAGTTTTTTAACCAAAAATAATTTGAAAATAAAAGAAGAATTAGTAATCAGCATTAAAAATCTTTTGTTTTTTATTGATAAATAATTTCATCACATATTTTCCCCGAGGATTATCACAGACAAAATTGGATTAGAAATCCATTTTGTTCAAGTATATCTGAAATTCTATTTCCTAAAGAAAAGGAACAATTGATAGAAATTTCCAGTGTTTAAACTCTAACTGAAGATTTCAAAAATAACACACTTAATATCTTTTGGCTAAACTTGTTAACAAACAACAACAACAACAAAAATAAATAAATAAATTAATTAAATAAAATAAAGCATTATAAATAAAGCTATTAAATTTCTATTGCTTTTTTGCATAATCTATTTCTATGAACAAGGATTTTCTTCCATGTTATATTTGAAAAATTAATACAGAACAAAATTAAAAGTGGATCCTAATTTGCGGTTAAAACTGAGTCAAGTAAGACCACACATAAAGAATTGATCTCTCTTAAACAAGCTCAAATTCCACACTAAATTTTAGAATTAAAGTATTACAACTTAAATTTTGTTTACTAAAACCAGTTTTTAATCTAATATTTTTTTATGTGTGTATATTTAATACAAATAGTTTGTGAAAACAGCAGTATATATTTTTTAAAAATATTTCTACTGAGAAATTGAAAAATAACCATTGTAAAATGTATTGGTGGTCAAAAGATTGAGAACCGCTGCTTTAGGGTATTTTACTAGTATTCATAATACACAAGAATAACTCCTTTTCATTGCTGCACTTTTATATTTATGAATACAACAAAAGAAATAAAATATAAAAGTGTCCACATTTCTAAATTTTTATATAGAACAATAAATCACAGTTTCTAAGCTAAGACCGTATTAAGATATTTAATAAGAATATGAAAAACAATCTTATTTTAACAAGAAAATTAAAAAGAATATTTTCCTAATAACTATGAAAAATGCATATTACCAGTTCATCTTCTGGATTTGATACAACAATAGGCTGGCCAGAATCACAAGACTTGCGTATTTGCATATTTAGAGGAACATCAGCTTTAAAAATATAGGCACAAAACTTTGTGACTAATGTATTAACTAAACTTCTAATAAAACAAGCACCAAATAGTAATAATATTAATTAAAAATAAGATATATACATATTGTCTCATTGACCATGAAACTGTTGCCAAGCAGCACAGTTTAGTGCCAATTATGGATAAGCGTGATGTAACAACATGCTCATATCATCTGTGCTTTCATTTGATGTAACCCTAACTGATTCTTGATAAACTATATTTTGTTTTTATGAACAATGATTTAAATTAATTGTAAGCTGTATGCTTTTTCTTTGCAATTAAAAAAAAAGGGTTGATTAAAATTTAGGTTCTGCCTTCTACAAATAAGTGCACTTTAATAGACATGATATGGTCAGTAAAACTATAGCAGAATGGAACAATTACCCACAGGAAATTTGTACAGTCAAAAGTCTTTAATCGGGACTCGTCGGGACTTCGGCGATTCCGGATTATAGAACATCAGTTTAAATCTGGCAAGATGGCATGCAGAAATTATAAAATTAAAAACATGAAACCGTAATTTATGAAATAAAGAACAATTATGATCTAAAGGGTATCAAAATTTACAAAAAAAAAAAAAAAAAAAAAAAAGAGCTTAATATTTATTTGTTTACTTTATAAACATTTCTTTCAACGCGCGCATGGGTAAAGCATACATTACGCATAGCCAAAATTAGAAAATTGCAACCAGAAAACTATTTGATGTGTATTCGTGATATTTATAATGAATTTTATTTAAATTATATAAAAGACAGAGTACATCGAGATGTAATACTACATTTAGTTAGGAATTATAAACCGAATAAAATAAAAACATCTGCCCTGAAGATAAGGATAGTGCTGACAGATCAACTTCCAATTCATTGCGCACCGCGACGGTTGATAAACAGATTGATAACCGATTGATAAACAGATTTCGGAATGGTTAGAGAAACAAAGGATATATGCCTTTATCCATTTTTTTCAGCAATTCCACTTTTTGTTTGATGAACATCGAAACATGCTTTCGCTTTCTAGATACTTTGGCAGCTGCAGAATCGGAAATTCTTTTTGACATAATCAAAAGTTCAAGCTTACTTTTATAAAATTGCTCTAAGTTGCAAAATAATAAGCCGATTCCAATTAGAAGATTAGGAACAATGCATCTGCAACATTAACTGAAAGATATTAGATAATTTTAGCTTAGCTTATACTGTTCGTTATACATTAAATGCGCATGCGTAAACGTATTATGCGCATGCGTACACGCATATTTGCATGCATAAAGGTATTACGTGCATGCGTCAACACATTAGGCATTGATGCATGAGCAGAAAGTTTGTAGCTTTGAGGTCCGGATTATAGATCATTGAGGATTATGGACATCCGGATTAAAGACTTTTGACTGTAGTAGCATTCTAAAGAGATTCCAGTAAAACTGGAAGGCCCAGCAAAATAGTAGAAATGAATGAAATGAAGCGTGATGAATACTGATTGTTTCTTACATAAAGAGACGTCAGTTTCTTCATCTGAAGGAAAGATGCAAATTTGGCAAGATCTCAACCAAATTTGATGGTTTGATGACAGTCAACTTTCACAGGTCGATGGGATAATATGCAAGTACCAAAAGTACCGTAATTTCGCACGTATAGTCCGTGGACTATCTGTGTTTAAAATGCGAATTTTTGAAGCTGCGGACTATCCACCAGTGCGGATAATACGCTGGTTGTTCATGGTTAAAATCGTTGAAATTTAAAAAACACGCTGTCGTGAACTGCTGAGGATCAAATATAAAAAGCGAGAGATTCCAAGAAAACTTTGTATATATCGTATCGCTAGTAACCATAGAGCATAGTGAGAACGAATGATTAGTAGCAAAGTACAGCTCCTAAATCCAGGCTGGGCGCATCAAGCGATGCCGGGATATGAACACTCACTAGCGCAACCAGTATTGTCCCAGTATCCTTCGCACTGCTTTAGCGCAACTGCCGGGAGGGGGAAAAGTAGTTGATGCGTCAGCTCGGTTTTTAGGAGCCTTAGTAGCAAGTACCTGGAGTACGAAAAAAAAGCGTGATTCGTTTACTTATAAGCGTGGTTTGGCAACACCGAGTGAGTGGGGTCGAAGGTCACATTTCATTACCACTTATCACGAGGACAGCACGTTGCACAGCATTTTGTCTTTCATCTTCGATAACATTGATGAAACATCGCCTTTTTTTTCTATTTATACTTAGTTCTTTGTTTCTAAAATACATTAATGTTGCCGTATTAAAAAAACGTAATTTCGGACGTACAGTTCGCGGACTATCCGATGGTGCAGACTATCTGACGATTTTTGAAATTTTTTTTATATAAAATCGTAACTGCGGACTATACATGCGAAATTACGGTAATTATAACGCTAAACTATTTGAGGTTCAAAGCATATGATATTGAAATAAAATAAATATGATAAATGAACAGCATATTTATTAACAAAACCAAATTAAAATTACTAGGCATTAATTAAAGTGAAAATTTGTTTTGCATCTACAGACAGTTCCCTTCCCCCTTTAATTTAGACAGTAAGAGATGATACAATTTATTGAAGAAACTATGATATTTGTGCCAATTTTTGCACATAGTCAGTTTTGAACAAACAGTAATGGAAAGCAGATGTGTAAGGGAATGATATTAGTTTTTGGTGGCACTGTGATACTTATACTAGCTTCTGAACACAGTCAATTTTGAACAAATAGTAATGGCAAGCAGATGTGTGTAGAAGAGCATTCTGAGGACTATTTATTTAAAATAAATTCATCTGTAAAGAAATTATTTTACATATATTTCAATTCTCTATTTGTTAATCAAGTTAGCTGATTACTTCCAGTATTCAAAAAGCCATTGTTTAGGAATAGCCTCCCAATGTCCCGCTATGAAAAATTACATGTTGTATTCTTACTGCAGTTTTTCTCCTGAAGGAGTTACTTTTAATAAATTAATATTCTTCAATGATTTCAATTTATTTTGTAAATTGTTTGGAGTTTCTTCTTATACATGAATTAATATCAATATATTTTCACCCCTTAATTTCCGATTCCTACTTTGTGGTAAAAAATCATAATTTGCAATTAGGTATACACAAAGATTAAAATAAAGAAATACATTGTTACCTAGCATATTTAAGCCTAATTCAGAAGCCAGCTTCAAAGCCCCATCCTCTCCAAATATATGGCTCTTTTCTCCACATTTTGGACAGATGTACACATTCATATTTTGAACTAAACCAAGTATTTTAACATTTACTTTCTGGAACATAGCAGCACCTTTGCGAGCATCTAGCAAGGCAATGTCTTGTGGTGTTGTAACAATGACAGCTCCTTAAAAATAAATAAATAAATCATAATGTATACATCTTTTTTTTCTGTGTTTTTTTATGCTTATGTATAGAAATTATTGATTTTGCACTTTAAAAATTCTAAGCTATTTTATGATATGTTAAAGCAATGAATACAAATTACTCACTTAACCTCTGTTATAAAAATATCAAAATACAGTCAAAAGTCGTTAATCCGGACTCGTCGGGA